GACGACAGTAACAACAACAACAGCGACGACAGTAACAACAACAACAGTAACGACGACAACAACCAGTAAGGCAACATTTGCGGTTTTTTTTCGCGTATGTCCATGAATATTCATGCAAATGGATTCATAAGAGAAGTTCTAGCGATCGATATGAGATATATCTATAACTGAGATAGGTCCAAGAGGAAAGCAGCGATTTTGGCAGCTCAAATTTAATTTTCCACAAATTGACATCAATTGCTTTCTCCTTGGAAGATTGACGAACAACTCTTCAGAACCTGAAGCTGATATTCAGCCAAGATGTTCGACAGTTTGACTAGAGAAGAAGCTGTCGATTTTCTTCTTCTCCTTATTTCTTTCTTCATTGATTTCTTCATTCTTGTGCAGTTTTTGTCAGGCAGTAGATTGGTCACTATAGATTTGAAAAGAGACAGAATACGGAACTTATTGTTTTTGGACTATGAAAAGGACGAATGAATCATTGAGTGTTTATTTGGATGGGCTCAAATATAATGCCGTTATTGTCTGATTCAGATAACGAATGAACGAGCGAGTGATTGTAGGTGGAAAGAAGAACGGTTGTTTTAGGGCTAATGTCATTTGATTACACCATTATCGAAGTGCTCCATTGAAGTACCCACTATTGAGTGAAGTACATCATCGATCATCTCTTACATAAATGTACGTGTCATCCAACTACAGTTCTTTTCAAGAGAGTTTTCTGATGATGGTTTATCGACAGCATGTTGTCAATCATCCTACTAATTGTGTCCCAGAAAAATCTTGCAAATTCAGCCGATTATGGGCTCATATCATTTGCTGATCTGATCGAATCTGAGATGAGATTCAGTTTAGTTCCAATGGTAAAAGATTGAAAGCAGTATCGCGAAACCAGAGGAAGATTCATCGACGATAAGAATGCATTAATCAGAAACAGAGCTGTGGCGAATTAGTCAGGATTGTAGAATGGTAATTTTCTCATGGAAACTGTATAGACTATAAGAAAAAGTATTTAGTTTTGCGGGAGATAAAAGAAAATTTTTCAAGACTGTGGGCATTATTCTGTTCGCTCACATTGTCTCTGTAGTAGCTGGGATAACGTTTTTGAACGTAAAAAATACTCAGATAAGGCAATTGTTTTTCATAATTATGTGAGTGATAATAACGATGTTTGTTTCCCAATAGCTCCATGCAATAGATTTCCGACACAAGTGATTTATTCACCTGGCACTAACCCGGTATCTGTGGCAGCAGTCGATGTCAATGGAGACAGCAAACTCGATATTATTGTCGCAAACTACGGTTTAAACAATGTCGGTGTTCTCCTCAACAATGGCAATGGCACGTTTGCTGCTGAAGTAACCTATTCAACTGCCACTCTGCCACGTTTTGTGGCAGCAGCCGATGTCAATGGAGATAGCAAACTCGATATTATTGTCGCAAACTCAGGCTCAGCCAACGTGGGTGTTCTCCTCAGCAATGGCAATGGCACGTTTGCTGCTCAAGTGACCTATTCAACTGGCGCTGGCCCGACTTCGGTGGCAGCAGCCGATGTTAATGGAGATAGCAAACTCGATATTATTGTCGCAAATCAGTATTCAAACACCGTCAGTGTTCTCATCAACAATGGCAATGGCACGTTTGCTACTCAAGTGACCTATTCAACTGGCACTAGTCCATTTTCAGTGGTTGTAGCCAATGTTAATGGAGACAGCAAACTCGATATTATTGTCGCAAACTACGGTTCAAATAATGTTGGTGTTCTCCTCAACAATGGCAATGGCACATTTGATGTTCAAGTGACTTATTCAACTGGCACTATTCCGTATACTGTGGCAGTAGCCGATGTCAATGAAGACAGCAAACTCGATATTATTGTCGCGAACTGGAGTTCACACAACGTCAGTGTTCTTCTCAACAATGGCAATGGCACGTTTGCTACTCAAGTGACCTATTCAACTGGCAATAACCCGATTTCTGTGGTAGCAGCTGATGTCAATAAAGACAGCAAACTCGATATTATTGTCGCAAACTACGGTTCACACAACGTCGGTGTTCTCCTCAACAATGGTAATGGCACATTTGATGTTCAAGTGACTTATTCAACTAGCTCTAATCCGATATCTGTGGCAGCAGCCGATGTCAATGGAGATAGCAAACTCGATCTTATTGTCGCAAACTATGGTTCAAACAACGTCGGTGTTCTCTTAGCTGTTTGTAACTGATACGCACCTTGAGCTCTACTGATGCAGTAACATTGAAGTAGTGGATTTAGAATTTTACTAAAATCTGTCTATATCCTTTAACAAAATCAAACTATCCATAGATGGAGAAGTGGGTTTTTTCGTAGTAGTTTATGTCAAAATTTATGTGATGTATGTGCATGTTTATATATGATACAATAATAAGTTTGAGTACAATCGAATGTTTATATGGTTTAGTCATGTTGCGTGGTGTGTTCGACGTCCACCGGCGTAAAAGGATTTTGGTTGAATATGTTTGTAAGTTTTCCTTGTAGTTCGTATGAACGACGTTGTTGCATGTTGTTTTGACGTTGGAGTATGGCATTGATGGTTTCATCGAGTTGCTGAACATTTTTATGATGAGATCTAGTAGATTGTAGTTTATTTTTCTCAATAATTGCTAAGTTGATGTAATATTGTACGATCTCTTCGGCTCTTGCTATTGTTTTTTGAGCAATATGGTCGGCTGATGATGTTTGAACTTGAAAGCATAGTGATATGAAGATATGGTATATGTTGGGTAATTGTATATGCTGAAGACTACATGATGATGCTTGTGCATGAACTTCAAGCCGTTTCTTGAATATAGTAATTTCATGTATTACATTTTGTTGTTCATTTATTGCTTTCCATACAATTTTTGCTGAACTGATCTAAACACTGATACGTTGTTCAAATATATGTAGGCTTTCTGTATATTTACCTCGGTTTGTCTTGGCTTTAGGTGGTAAAAGTGTTCAACAAGTTTGTGTTTTTCAGCATCTAGTCAGAGCATTGTTTTTCTTCTGTCAAGTTCAAGTCGTAATTCATAATGATCTTTATTGATTAAATTATTTATCATGGTTATAATAGTTTGCATATCAATAATGAGTGGTGCTTGTTTCATACATTGATTAATAGCCTCTTGGTTTTTATCACATTGTAGTTTATATTTTGCAAGACGTTGTTTGATTAAGTTTTTGGATCGACCATATGTGTAACACACTGAATTGGCTTTGGCCATTTTTTTCGATACTCGGTCGGTCCAAATACCTTCGGTCATGCCAAGATTATTGTAATAAGGCCATTGTTCATGTTGGAATTGAGAATAATTAAATTTATTGACCAATTGTGTAAGTTCAAGAATAAATAATAATATTTCTCTCTGGTTTAATAATTCAATAAGTGCATCTTGATTAATAGTATTGGACATTGATATTAATAACATTTGTGTAAACTTGCTGTCAGATAACTTTGAATAATCCGGTAATACTAATGTTGGATCAGAACTAAATGCCATATCCGAAGGATTTGATATTTTTTTCTTTGGCAATTCTTGTAATATCGACACATTTTGAAAGTGTAGGTTTTGATCAATAGTTACTAATTGAAATTCGTTTTTGCTAGAGACTCTTTTCTTTTTCATTCGTAATTGACGATGGTGTGGATGTGGGAGTGTAGGAAACTAACAGCCACAGCCACAGCCACAGCCACAGCCACAGCCACACCCACCCCACCCATACCGCGCAAGAGCTATATTATGCAAGGGTGATATCTAACATTGGTGGCATCGTACAATGATAATACTTAGGGTATACAAAAAGTAATGTCGCCATTATCAAATTTGCTTATAGAAAGGTTGAAAAAATTTTCTTTTTTTATGAAAAGATAGAGCGTTTTTCGCTCTATTTTTCTATACTATTTGATCACTATTCAACTAATATTATAATAATAAGATTTCGATAAAAACTGTTTTTGTTGCAAACTAGCCGGTACCATTGGGATGATTATGGGTGGGGCACTTTTGTATTCCACTTTATTATCACGTAATACATTGTATTAAAACAACAAAATATACCATAAGATGCAGCGTGAAAAGTTCTACAATTTATAAAGGACCGTTTATTTTATGGTTGCGCTTTTTATTCTCAAAATGGACAAAACTCTAAGCGACCAAATTTCGACGTTGCGAAAACGAGATGCTTTTTTGGTAAAAGATGAATTCGTTTTTCTTATCTCATATTTTTATTACCTGATCTACTTTATTAAAAAAAACAAAATACACTGCAAGATACAACGTGAAAAGCTTTACAATTTACAAAGAACAATTATAAAAAGATGCGATAGAAAAAAACGAATTCGTCTTTTACCAAAAAGGCATCTCGTTTTCGCAACGTCAAAATTTGGTCGCTTAGAGTTTTATCCATTTTGAAAATAATAAGTGCAGCTATAAAGTAAACGGTCCTTTATAAATTGTAGAGCTTTTCACGCTGCATCTTATGGTATATTTTGTTTTTTTTTAATACAAGCTATTAACCGACAATAATGTCAAATGCAAAACTGCCTCATTTTTTATGCTACACCCATTATGATCTAAATGGTACCAGCTAGTTTGCAACAAAAACAGTTTTTATCGAAATCTTATTATTATAATATTAGTTGAATAGTGATCAAATAGTATAGAAAAATAGAGCGAAAAAGGCTCTATCTTTCCATAAAAAAAGAAAATTTTTTAAACCTTTCTATGAGGAAATTTGATAATGACGACACTACTTTTGGTATGCCCTAAGTTGTTGTAAGCGAATTGTGCCTATCGGCACACACACCCACACCCGCCTACACCTCAACGGCGAGATTCTATTGATTTTCTCCTGTTCATTGCTGCAGTTCCGTCATCATACTTTCCTTTTATTTCTTTAGAAGATTGCATCTTTCTTCATAGTAACAGCGCACATCGTATGTCGGATGTGACAGTTGATGAATGGTATCATTATGTCTCATCCGCTTGTCTAAAATGTTCTCTATTGATTTATTTCTCAATTATCCCGATATGTTTATAAATCAAATATCGTTAATAAGCGTTTCCGAATGTACTCGATCAAAGTTGTTGCGATTACCAACAAATTTCTTACAGTTTTAGTCGAAAAAGTAGACTTCTGGAATTGGGAAAAATGGGGCACTAATGGATTATCCACAAAAAACGTTTTGCTTGCTGGCTTGGTTGCTATACTGAAGATCGGTATCATTTCTAAAGTATTTCAGATAATATTCGTAAATATCTTTTGAACTAGAATGTCCAACCAATGTAAAGTTTTTTATAATATCACCTTTCATAATACCACATTGAATTAATGATTTAAATGCCTTTAAAGAGTTAATACTAGTATAATTGCCAATAATGCCGATGCCTTTTACAAAACAAAAGAACATGATTTGAAATCTCGAAACGCTAACTTGAGAAGCAACAGAACACTTCAGCAACAAAAATTCTGATGAGTCAGTCCACGTAAGCCACAACCGACGCTCAAGGAGCACGTTCAATGAAAATTATCAAATCTTGCTCATTTTAAGACATGCAATCGAAGCCACAGTTTTATGAATTTTGGTGCAAGTCGTTTTCAAAAATATTGAACCTTCAAATTTTATGATTTTTTCATGAACTGGCTCTTATAACCATACACATCAAAATTCATATAAGATATTAATTATTACACTCAAAAAAATCTCCGTAGAATAAAAAATCTATAATACAGGGTGTAACAAAATTTTAGGCCCTCTTGTACTTTAGTCAGAAAAATTCATCTTGTAATTCGAAAAGATATCGAATTGTTTAGTACATATGTTAGTAAAATAGATGTGTCCATGTGAGACAGAGACATGAAATTTCTCGTCGATTAAAGATTTCTCGTCAATGTATTCGTCGAACCATTCGTAAATTTGATGAATTTCATACAGTAGCTACAAAACCTGGTGCTGGGCGTCCTTTCAAACTCACAGATCGTCAAAAACGAACGATTAAACTTCAGCAACTTCGTGATGATACTGGTTCACTGAATGATCTCGTACAATATGCTCATACCAATTTAAACTTGTCGATTAGTCGTGAAATTGTCAGCCGTATTCTTCGAAATTTCGATATGATTTCCTACATCGCACCAAGGAAACCACGGATAATTCCAATGCAACGACGTAAACGAATTCAATGGTGTTATGAACATTTGAGCTGCGCAGTGAAACATTGATCGAATGTGATATTTTTCAATGAAAGTAATTTTGAAATATTAAATCGAAAGAATCGGATCTATATACGATGGTTTCGCAACGATCGGACCCGATTTGAATGATCTCAACAGCGAGTTCACAACGGAGGAGGAGTTGTCTATGTGTCACATGGACACATCTATCTTACTAGCATATGTACTAAACAATTCGATATCTTTTCAAATTACAAGATGAATTTTTCTGACTAAAGTACAAGGGGGCCTAAAATTTTGTTATACCCTGTAGATTTATAAAAGTGCAACAATCTATAAACGCTTCAGACGCACATCAAAGTTGTCAGTGTGCTCTTCAAGGGTACATTGCCTATTCTGATGAACGTTCAAGGGTGCATTGACAATTTTGATGCGTGCCTAAAGGGTTTGTAGCTTGTTGCACTTTTATAAACTCATTCTGGATTTTTTATTCTACGGAAATTCTTTTGAGTGTATGAGAAGATCAAATTGACAAAAAACTAAGATTCGTTACTCTAGAAAGTTAAAAGAAGAATTCATTCTTACCCAATGATCTTGGATCATAACCTCTACAATGTGCACCAGTATAATTCCATCCTCTGCCTGTATAAATTTGTTGTTGGTCACTACTATCATCACACAGTAGAAAATTATAAGCAATATCATCCCACTTTTGTTCATCGATTTGATAATTTTGCACTTCTTTTATTTTATTAATACAATCCTGGCGATTCATAATTGGACTGAGACCTCCTAATTGATGTACAACAATATGTGTAACTGGTAATGTTGGTAATTTTTCACGACTTCTATAGGGACGTGCATTCCAGCTAGATCGTTCGAGTAAATCTGGACCATCTGCAAGAAATGAACATCAAACATACCTATTTTATACTTGTTCAACAGAGAATAGAATTTTTTGGTATTCTTTTGCAAAGAATAGTTCACTCTAAATCTATCAAGTGTTATTAATCTGTTAACTGAGAAATCAACTCTACATATTTTCTCAAGGTCTATGAAATACGGGATTAGTAGTTTGACTAGGCAACTTGAAATCAAAGTCAGTGGCTTTAATTTCCAATAAGGAAAGAATGAATTTTAATTACTTTGTTTAAAAGCCAAAATACTTCCGTCGAAGAAGTTGGGAAGAGATTTCATATTTTAGCTTTTTAGAACCTTCGATGGCTTTGATTATCACAGGTTAACCTAGGGGTAATCGACACTCGTCATCATTATTGTTTTGGATTATTCTTTCGAGGGTGTATCACAATCACATCGATTTCATGCGAATCGGATGAAACTTTCAATAGTTGTAGGAGTGGGTGTGAGTGTGTGGGATGTGGGTATGAGTCAAATTGAGAACACACCCACACTAACACCGACACTAAAACCTACTCCCATACCCACACTCACACCCGCAGCACACCCACCCGGGGGAAAAAGCGGATCCCGTGGATCTCGATGAATCCTATTAGATCTCGATGGATCCTACTGAATCCTCCAGAAACCAAATGAGCATTAGAATAAGTTATTTCATGTGTATAAAAAACAACGTGAAACAGACTGATCCTCAGGCATATAAGACTCCACTGAGATCCAAAGAAATCACGTAGAAAAAAAAGGAAAAAATTGAGTTGAGAATTTATGACCAAGAGGAAAATTGAGAATACTCAAATGGAGGTATCTCCTTACATTTTGGCATATGATAAGAATATGCCATCTCATGTTTTTATGACATATGATGACCAACAATTCTTTTCGTCAGATTCATTGCGTTGTGATGTACTGGTTATTGGTACATTTCGGTTTTCCTCGATAGTTTATAAGGGATCCTTTTAAATTGTAGCCAGCCATGCTGAAATATAATGTTTTCTGACAGCTTCAATAAATCGATTTTTATAGTCTATCAGGAACCACGCGTCATACTACATCTGGTTTTTTTCTATTGACTTAACAGTGTCAAAAGTCAAGATAACCGGTTACTCTAATGCCACTCTTGTTTTTTTTCTTCAAGAATCCTTTTAAAAAGTTTTGAAAATCTTGAAGTTTGTGCCAAGATTTCACACCATTTCAGAATCAAGGATTCCCGTACAATTTTCTCCAGCGGAGGGAAGCTACTGTTACTTTATCAAGTAACTGGTAACGTTACAACTACCGCTACCTGCATGACTGGTAATAGGGAAGTTACCAGTTACTTTTCCTTGCAACTTCTCAAAACGACGATTTTATCACTTCCGTTCGATCGAATATCGTCAATACATCACTTAACATGGTTCAGAGTTACCAGATAACTGATCAAATGAGTAAATAATCCATTAGTTAAGTTCCATCAAATAGAAGTGATAATTCGTTGTTTTGAGAAGTAGCCATGAAACGAGACTAATAACTCCTCCGTTACCGATTACCTAGGTGTCGATAACATCCTAACTCTAGTTTTCTCTCGATTTAACTCAGTACTTCTGCAGAAATAAGAGAAAGAGTTGGGCTTAGACATTGTCAAGATAACTTGGATCTATTTGGAATCTCAAGATCTTGACGCTTTTAGACTCTTCATCTAAATCAGGAAAGGTTTCTAGAAAGAATACTAGAAGAAAAATGAGAACTCTCAAGTAATGGATCTTTCAGATTCAATCAGAGTTCTTTCTCATCTTTTTATATATTTGTATCATATATATCACTAATCGATGTTCTCACCATCTTCTCCGTATCTTTTGAAAGTCAAACATCTCGGATTCTCAGAAGATGACAAGAATAGTCAGAATCTTTCGGCAAGGATGTCCAGATTGAATAAGAATCTTTACAGTTCCCGCTAAGAGTATTTTCAAAACCTGATCTTGAGGATTCCAAACATGATTTATGGTTGATCTGATTCAAAGTTTTGAAAAAAAGCAGAAGATCAGTGCAACAAATTTGAAACCAGTGCCTACTTAAATTTCTCGAAAACTTTTGAGATTTGTTGAGTCATACGAAATTAGGTTATGCTTGTTCAGTAAAATATGAGCAGCAGCAAAATGACAAGCTGGTTTGGATTTTACCTAGTTCTTTTCTCAACGTAACGGGAATTTAAGGGTGTAGAAAGACACCCGATTTTGCTCTAGTATTTTTTGCATCTTCATATATGCGAGTGGAAGATTCTGAATAAAGTAGTAGATGATTTTTCTCGAAGGTTCTTTCAAGTTCAGTCAAATGAATCCAATTTCAGCTCTGAACAACTGACGAAATCCTATGGGTATCAGGGACACGAATCCACTAATGAATCCGACAGCTGAAACCTGTTTAGTTGGTGAAGTACTAATTTCTACCTAATGTCAATATTAGAGGTAGTCCAGTACCCTCCAGTAGTTTCTGTTGAATTACGACAGTAAGAACCTATTGGATTGCAACGCTGGATATCTGAATGCTGTTATGAAACCCAGAGTTTGACAGAATTTCGTCAATTTTACAGGAATTTTCATAACATTCGATCATATTTCTATCGGATTCGTCTGTCAGCGTAATTCTCATAGTAGATGTTTATTTTATGTCACATTCACGGCATTGAATTTCAATTATTTTTTAATTTGGTCGTGACGCAAAACTTGCAAACTCATAAAAGTAGCGATTTAAATATTAGTGTTGCCGTTAAACTAGTTTTTCCTTGAACAAGCTTCTTTCGTTATATCTCGATTCTTCAGTGAAACATCCTCTGAATTTTCACATTCGTGTTAAAAATGAGAAAAGCATGGTTTATTCAAATTTAAATCAACAAATAATGATAGAATTTCACGAGAATAGATTAATATATTAGGTATTGAGGGTTCTTGAATTCTTCTAACAATTGGTTCATGTTTTAATAAAGTTGAAATAAAAGCCAATAATAACTCAGAAAAAATTCATGATATGAGGACATTAGCACACTAAGGAATAAAATAGTCTACTGCAATAACCTTGAGATCAATACTCTCAATCTTCATTTCTCGTATTTTCTACTCATAAATTCCTGCAGACATGTATGAAGAAATTGCGTGAGATGCCTAAATACTTGTAGTTAAAACGTCCAAAGGAAAATTAGAAAACGTTGTTGCAATTAGGAATAATTCAGATTCTGACAAGATCTCGGTATCAAATCAATGGAAAAGGAATCGGACTGCTCCAAAGTTCTCGCTTTAACTCTACAACAAAGTTATGCTCATTTCATCGCTCCATTGTTTTCTCAAAATTTGTTGTTTCGTCAATCATCCCCTATTTGAATTACAATGTGGAATTGTTCAAGACCCTGCTGAAATACTGTTATAATTAAATTTAGTTTTAAACTTGAAATGCTTGACTACACAATGATCTGAAGATATAACAACTTCTTGGATCACTCACGAATGAAAATAGTTAATGCTGGTCGCAGGGTGTGGGTGTAGGTGTAGGGAAGATTCACACCCACGCCTACACCCCACATCTACATCACATCCACGACTGCGCCCACACTCACATACCCACACCCACATCAGTACCCACATACTTGCACACACCCCACGTTGCCACGGTAAAACTCGCCAAAAAGCGGGCTTTTACTAACTACTTCCATAGAACGGTAAAAACAATGTCAAGCAGTATACATATTTTGGTAGCCTTTTGTTCAGCACACCCAATTCCGGATAAAAAAGCTTTCAGTTCAATCTCTGTGCGATTGAGATTTGAAAGAAGATGGTATCACGTTACTTGTAAACAAGATTTTCGGCACACTTTTTCAGAGTCAGTGATGGAGCTGAGGAAATAGCATTTCGAAATGCCGATCATAATCTGTAGTGTAATCAGGATTCCACAACACCATGTCTATACAAAAACTCCAACTCAGTAATGATTGTGGAGATGGAAAGCAAAGAACTAGCGACAGTTTTATTTACTTAAAAAATGTCTCGAATGGAGTATGGAGTTCTCGCGAAATGAAGAATTTTTTCTCATCAACGAAACACTCTGACTTGAAGTGCTCAACAGCCTTACGCCTACAGATGATAAAGCCTTCTCAGATAATGTCTGCTACACACTTACTTTGTAAAAATTCCAAATATGTACCATAGACGACGAATAGCTTGATGTAATCACACCAGTAATTTATCTGATTTCTGTGATTGCCGAGCGCACTGAACTCGATGAGCACTTCGAGTTCTTGCGTATCAGCATCCAAAGCTAGGCTAATATTGCCTTTAGCCGAACCTATATACAGAAGGTGTATCGTAGTCGGTACTATAGTGGCAGACAAAATTTTAGAGCATCTTTTATTTTTTCAATTATTTTGTTCAAAATGACTTGTTAAAGGTGTTCTAATAGTGATTTGGATAGCTAATGAAGAGCTCTATTTAACGCATTATATACCAGGATTTCATCGATAGATTATGACGGCAAGGTTTCTAAAAAACCGAAAACCGTATTTTTCAGGTCCTTGAAAACTTTGTAGAAATTGTTTTTTTATAATGTCATCTTAAAGAGTGTAAAATTCTGAACAAAATGCGGGATTGCTGTGATTTTTACGATCTTCTCTTCAGAAATTACAGACATTACAAAACATGAAGAAATACATTTTTTAGTCGATTTTCAGTGATTTTTTGATAAAATCCACTTTCTTTTGTATTTTGTAATGCCTGTAACTTCTGAAGAGAAGGTTGCAAAAATCACAGCAATCTCCCATTTTGTTCAGAATTTTACACTCTTTAAGATGACATTATAAAAAAACAATTTCCACAAAGTTTTCAAAGACCTGAAAAATACGGTTTTCGGTTTTTTAAAAACCTTGCCGTCATAATCTATCGATGAAATCCTGGTATATAATGCGTTAAATAGAGCTCTTCATTAGCTATCCAAATCACTATTGGAATACCTTTAACAGATCGTTTTGAGCAAAATAATTCAAAAAATAAAAGATGCTCTAAAATTTTGCCTGCCACTATGGTATACTGAAACTTACTTAACTTTTGCTGAGCACGAATGTGTCCGATATTGTTGATTCCTCTCAATTGAACGGATACACCGATGCTCATACTTGCAATCAATATGGCCTGTGAGTATGGCCAAGAATTCGGGTCCCACTTGTTTAATAAATTGGCACGTTGCAACATAGTAGCTCCAGTATCAAGTGATTGTAACATAAACTGGCAGTTAGTATAATTCTTGTCAGACATCATCGTAGTGACATTGCCAGTTTGTAATATCCAACTGGCGACAAGAGAAGTATTGCAATCAGCATGGCCATTATTGATCAAGTTTGTATCATGAGCAAGTGTTCCATTGGGTAGTCGGACGTCTTGAATAGAGAGAGCACTTTGCAATTGTCTGTCTACAATATTGGTATGAGCAAGATCAGCGTTGTAAAGATTGGCACGAGAAAAATCAACATTAGCCAAGTCAGCCGCTATGAACGAAGCACGCTTAATGTTTGAGTGCCAAAAGCTGGAATTAGATAAATTAGCATAATTGAAACGAGCTGCGACACAAGTTGTTTGTTGAAAATTCGTGTAAGATGCTTCGGCACTAGAGAATATGGCTGAAGCTAAACGGCAATTGAAAAATAAATTTCATAAAAAAGCAAAACTATTATAAACATTACCTAAAATAGCGGATGAAAAGGTGACATTGACGAGTTGAGCATTTGAAAAGTCGGCATTGCTAAGGTTAGCAGATAAAAAGGTGACATTGATGAGTTTAGCATTTGAAAAGTCGGCATTGTTAAGCTTAGCAGATGAAAAGTCGACATTATGGAGTGTAGCCTGCTCAAATGTGACATGGATCAGCTTCGCGCATGAAAAATTGATATTGAAAAGGGTAGCAAGTGTAAAAACGACATCATTAAGCACGGTGGATGAAAAGCTAATATTCTCCAGTCGGGCGCGTAAAAAATCGGCTCTCAACAGCATAGCGGATGAAAAATTAGCATGCTCAAGTCGGGCATCTAGCAAGCGGGCATTAAAGAGTGAAACGGATGAAAAATTAGCATTAAAGAGAGTGCTGGATGAAAAGTTAATAGTGTAGAGTTGGGTGGATGAAAAATTAGCATCGTTGAAGCGAGTGAATGGAAAATTGACACTGCAAAGTGTTCCATTTGAAAAGTTAACAGTGTTAAACTCAGTATTAGCGAAGTTGATATGCTCCATATCAATACCTATAAATGTGGCATTTGACAGAAAGATTCCAGTCAATGATAGTTCCTTCAATTGTTTTCCATTTACTGCTGAATCACGAAAATCGATATCAAGAAGTTTTGCTGTTGAAAGATCCAGAGCGGAATGTCCGTGTATTTCAGTAAGTTGTTTGGCTTCATAGAGAAATCGAATAATGCGAATAGTATGTTGTGCATCTAGTTGACGAAAAATATTCAGAGTTTTAACTCGAGCAACTGTAGCTGAGACTTCATTAGAGGTGAGTGATCCATTATATTCTTTTAACATTTTGGCCATTTCCTTAATATAAGTATCGAAAAGTTCGTTTTTATATCTTTCATCGTTCAGATATTTGTCTTGTTCACGTTGCAGTTGTGATGCTATTCGATCTTCGTCACGTTGTTGTTTAGCTGCATTCTGTTGCTGTAAAGTGATGACAACAGTGAAGACACCTAATGCGAGCGGCACTAATAAAGAGGAGATAAACCGGAGAACATCTTTGAGTTTCAAACCACATAATTGACGATTTACACGAAGGGATCGATCCGTTTGGGTACTTTGTTCTTGAGGAACC